GCAAGAAGAATCGCTTCAGCTCATCACCTGAAGCATTGGTTCCGGGTCATTTGGCCGAATGCCGAACAACACAACTCCAAAGTACTGCTCATGTTTGAAAGAAGGAAAAAATTCACATTTTTATTAACGGGAATCCATAACGGCCGATTCAAATATGCAGCGTTCCCATCGGTCAAAACCATAGAAATGTTGTATCTAGATAAAAATAATTTGTCCGAAAACGATTAGACACGAACCAACTCATAAATTTTATACGCGTGTTCGTGGTTAGGATAAATATTTTTCGCGAACACGGCGGCAGATGTCAGTTTTGTGCTTTGATCAGAAATTTCTTTGTAATTTTTATGATCATTCATGTCGGTTTGTCGGTGGTATTATAGCCAGCCAAACACCAATCCAAATCCAAACACCTAAAGCAACCAACGATAAAAACAAAACGCTTGCTACTACTACCAACATAAACTCCTATCTGTAATGTAGCTCGAACGGAGTTGTAGAAGGATAATGATATATTTCTTGCCTGCTTTATTGCAATATACACGGTTGAGGACAAAGCTTGATCGGAATCGAGAAAAGACATATCAACAAAATTCCCATTATAACACATGCCTATCATTTTCGGCTTTACTTTGTGAAGCGGCTTGTCAACAATTTGGTCGTTTCCTTCTACTGACCCGAGCGAGCTATATTGCAAAGGCCGTTTGTCATGAAAAAAAGGGAAGAAGATTATATCATTACTGCTTTCCATTGCTAACATACACTGAGGCAAATAGACCTAAGAATCTCATAAGGCTCGACTTATGAACAACATATATGAATTTCATAAGCATGGCTTATCAATGATTTTCGGGTATTAGTAGTCTTCTTCTTCTTCGCATTTCAAGCTTATTGCATATCGCATATTAGCTTATTGCGTGCTCTCAACTTAGTGTTCTAGATGCACTTCCACAGTTATTAATTGAGAGCTTTCGATGCCTGTACCATTTTTGCATTGATATGATTGTGTGGCAAGTCCAATCATACTTCTATGCCCAGGGAAGTCGAGAAATTTTCCAACCCGACCGGGAATTGAACCCAGCCACCTCCAGAATGATCTTGCTTTGTAGCTGCGCCATTACCGACTGAGCTAAGGGAGGTATTAGTAGTAAAATTACGTTTATTTCTGTTATTTGTGTTTTTACATTGTTATAACATTCTAATTGATTAGCCCATCAGGCTCTTCATCTTTGTTTAATTTGTTATTTCAATTTACGTATTCACGTTTTTCTACTAGTCTACAGAGTACCCCTTGGGGGGTGTGTTATGTATGAATTGAAAAAAGTGATAACCTACCTAACTACGAGTATAACTTAGCCTAACGTGCTAGATCACGTATGTATGATCTGATGAGTTGATCTCAGACATGTGTCTGAACCTTTCCAGGATAAAAACTCTCCGTTCTTCTAATGTCTGAATTCCAGCCAGGAGGTGGATCTCAAAATTTCTAGTTCGCGGGAGACTGTTTAGGATCATCCTAAGGATCTTGTTCTGGATCCTTTGGAGTGTAAGGTGATGGCATTTGGCGCAACTCTCCCAGATTTGCATACCGTACTCGATTACGGGAAGGATGATTTGTTTGTAGACAGCAAGCTTATTTTCCAGGGACAGGGTAGACCTCCTGTTGATGAGTGGATACAGTGATCTTATCAGGATGTTACACTTGGTTTTCGTTTTATCAACGTGCTACCCGAAAATCAGCATGCTGTCTATAGTGTTAAGCCGAGGTAGACTACCTCTTTCGACCATTCCACCACTGTGCCGTTCAGGCAGCTCTTCTTATTATCCGACGGAACAAGTCTGGTGGATTTAGAGTGTGGAAAGATGATGACCTGGGTGTTTGCCACGTTGATACGGATCTTACAGCTGATGAAATATTCAGACAGGGCTCCTATGACCCTACCCTTGTAGACGATGGATGTGTCATCTGCGAACAGAGACAACGATCCGCCATCAGGGAGAGCCGGCATATCGGAGGTGAACAGGTTGAATAGAATGGGGCCAAAGATGCTTCCTTGTGGAACTCCGGCGCCGATGTTGAAAGCATCCGATGTGATGCCATTCATAGCGACTTGGAACGTCCTTTCCGATAGATAATTATTTATTATCTTCACTAGGAAGAATGGAAGACCGTACTGCTGCAATTTGAACACCAGGCCATCATGCCAGACATTGGCGAACGCTTTTTCAATGTCCAACAACGATGAAACAGACTTATTCCGTCTGAGATTGTTTGTTACTCGAGTCAGCTGGTGGACGGTCGAACGACCTTTCCGAAAACTGCTCCTCGAGTAACAAGTTGTTTTCTTCGGCACATGTTAGGAGCTGGTGATAGACTGCTATTTCGAACAGTTTTGATAACCCTGAGAGAAGGCTGATTGGTCGATAACTTGAATAAGATGACGGATCCTTCCCAGGTTTTCGGATGGGTATGACTTTAGCTGACTTCCAACACGAGGGTAAGTAGCCAATTCGGAGGCACAGATTAAAAATCAGTGCCAGATGGTTGTAGAATGTGGAACTCAAGTGTTTGAGTTCCAGATTCAGGATGTTGTCGAGACCTGGGGCCTTCAGGGTTTTGCACAATCTGGGAGAGAGCGGATCCTGTTAGCAAAGTTCTGATTTCTGAGGTCCACCATCCTGGCTTGGATGGTTTTTGTTAGGCGATTACAGTGGGTCTTCAAGACAGGCAAGCCAGAACGCTGGTATTGCCTTCGAATGGAGTTACGGAGTCTAATGAGATTTTTGGTAATTATATCAAGGTTCAGAGTATTGCTCCCCTGTCTGGATGCTGACACGTGTTGTTCCCTGGCCCGGGATATCGCCTCCTCGGTGAATGATTTTCGGGTAACATGAGGTAGCTCTTATACGCCTTTAACCATTTCATTTTCCCAAGCGTTGAAAGACAAGTGGTCAACGTCCATTTTCCGGTTCTAGTCTGCTCCGATTTATTATTTTTTGTCAACATTATTTTTCATAAGGTAAATCAATGAAATTCACACTCATTTCTTATGGCTAAAATTCATAAGTGTTTCTTATAGAATTCTTACGTTCTTTTGCCTGCGTGAAGCGTTATCATTCGGCTCGTTGATCGCTTGTCATTTTGTCATATTGAGATATTTTTGATTCCTTTTTGTTTATAAATGTATTTGCTAAGGCCGAATTAACATTACAGAGCCGAGGATTCTTGTTCACTGTATAATACATCTTAAAACTATAGTCAAAAGGTACAACACAATAAACATTTTATCTTCCGCTATCCAATAAGCCTCTTCCATGAGAACGGGAGCCGCTTCCAATGGTTTCATTGTATGGCAGATTCGCCAACGGGGGTCAGAGCACTTTCATTGCAGCAATGGACGCAAAACGTGGTCAGTATTCACACATTCATCATTATACGGTTGCTTTGCAAAGTCGACGACGCATCGACTGAAAGAACTGCTGATGAAGAACAATGAGGAATACCACACAATGGTTGCTGCCGAGTAAACAGACAATCGCGTGACACACATTGAGAGTGGTCTGCTTCTGTCAACAGCCGAGTGAACACTGATTTATGATTCCTTGATTACATTGTGTGTGGCAGGATAATTTCTCAAAATGGGATTATATCATCTGTTCTCTGTTTATAGCCGTACGACTGCGCCCATTGATTTAACACACTGCGGCTCGTTATCCAGGATTTGCTTCTCAAGCCGCTGCCATAAAATACTATCTAAGTTACACACCTGTGTATAATTCTTATGGGCGGGGTTGCAGCGCGCTTATGAGCGGTGCGCTTCGACAGTCACCAAATGAGAATTTAACATAAGCGCGACAATAACATATTTTAAAATTCCTGAAAAGGTTTTCTGGATATATGCTATGCTTGATAAAGGAATTTGAAAATTCCCTGATAACATCACGTTTTTCAGCGGCGCCGGTGGTGTAGTGGTAAACGTGATTACCTCGCACCCCAGCAGGCCTGAGTTCAATCCCAGTCGGCGCCATCGGGATGTTCTGAGGGAAGTAAAGCCGTTGGACCCCGGTTCATGTGTTGATGGGTCGATAGGTAGGGTCCAGGTGTGGGAGCTGCCTCCCTGCCGTCGGTAGCATTGGTGCTCAGCAAGGAAAACAAGATCGATAGAAAACAAATCAAGGTAAAAAAATTCCACGTTTAACCTGATAAAATTAAATTCCCTGAAAATTCAAGATCCAGGTTTTTTTTTTTCCATGTAGTAAATACCCTGTAATACCATTATGTATCTTTTAATCACTACGGTGACGATCACTTGGCTACTCAATAACCTTGTAAAAGTTGAATACATTTGCATGTTTACGCGGAATTCCATCTCGATGAAGCATTCATTAACTGATAAGCAAATTTTGTTATCGTTAATTAAACATTCGTACGTTACTGAATTGTCGAGTAAGGGGCTATTCACGGACCATGTGAACATTATTTGTGACGTTTAAGACCCCTCCCTATTTCCCTGAGTGAATGTAGCATATTTTTGACCAAAATGTAAAACCACCTTCCCCTCGTAGCGTATTTAGCTATACCTATTATTGGGCCGGTCATAACTGCTGTCGACACCCACACTCCCTCCTCGCTCTAAAAATCTACGTCATTTATGCATGGTCCCTTACAATCTCTAATTACATACTTTGAACATTTGCCCAATCGCCGGTATCGCCAATCTCGTTCCGTATCACTAAACTGGACATACCGGCTCAGTAAAAACCAGTCGTAAGCACATGGGCTCCTCCAAAATTACATAAGATGCCATCCACGCCCTGAGCCCATTCTACTTCGGGCTCGTTCATCATTTGAGTATAAATTTCCAGCCATTCGAAAGTAGCTGGAAGCCCTACACTACTAACTCACAATGGCAGCAAACTTGCACCGATTAAAATTTACACTCAAATTGAAACCAATTTTGCAATTTAATACAATAAACTGAACAAAAAACAACATGACTCACCTGAATTTCGAAACTGCCATGCTGCTCTGCACGTCTCTTGTTTGTTTCGGTAATGTATTTAATGACACGACGATTCTCCCACCTACTGGCTGGCTCCGAGCTGGAAAGAACGCGGACGACGCACTCCCTGTTTTTGACGCCACCCACCGCCGCTGCCTGCTACTTTCACACGAATTTTCCTGAGTCGCGCTGCTGCTCACTGACTACATCTGACGATGTCTCATTGTCACACCGGTTGACTACACTAACAACACTGGGCTTAAGTACCCCGACCCATCCACTTTGACTTTGTGCGCCGCCGTCGTTCTTGATTGACTTTTTCTACGCGCCCAAGTTTAAATTTAAATCTGGAGAGAGTTGATGCTCTTCATACACACTGCCTACTACTGCTGACTGCTAACCTACTGAAAATTGTCCCACTCTTATTCGACTGTCCAATTTGAGCGATTTCAAACTAACCGAACTTTTCCTGTTTCATCTATCGTCGTCGTTGTCGACGTAGTGGTTGCGCGGTTGCAAAACACCTTACTCACTAATCAATTCAGTTTTCATACAGCACATGCAAACTCACTTTGCTTAGGTACGTACTCTTCTTTTTTCACATTGCTTGCTTATCACATCACACCATTCGCTACCATTCCATTCCAACCCGCAGCAGCGACTGATGAAGGTGTTTATAATAGTTTCACTGCTATGATTGCGGCATTATTCGAGATAAGAATAGCGGAATCACAACTGTTTGGTCATTTATGCGAGCTGCGAGTAGCGAACACACTTGCTACAGCTGCAGAAGCAGGCACTATTTAGGAAAATCGAAGAACGTTTATAGGCCCGTCTCGACGTCTGACTGTCGGTTCGATGGAAGTGGGTGGATATTTCTTCTTACTTGCTATTTTTCCCACACCTACCTAGAGCAGAGTTCCAAGACCTCACCAGTGTAAACACATGATCAACTCTTCAATGGTTTAATGGCAATGCAGACAAATAGATTCATGTACGCTGTACTAACCGTACTGTACTGTTAATATCGTAGTAGGACTGGGATACTGAGAGTGAGTGAGAGGGAATGAATTTTGTGCAGTGCATTGATGGGGTGTTTGATTTGTTTTGGTTTTAAGATATACCTACTGTCAGAGGCACCTTAATAAAACAGCTGAAAATGTAATACGGATGGGAGGAAAGAAGCGAAATAATATAACAGCCATGCGCGGGAAGTTTCTGAAGGGTTTGACAAAACGTGATCTTCTTTGGCGGAATGATAGACGTTGAGAATGGTGGATTGGACATTTTCAATAGAAACACATCAACGATTTATTCATAATAAACATAGATGTAAATATATTATTTTATAGTACGTAACCGACTATTGGCTTGGGTTGCCAATAGTATATCAAAAATACCACACAAACAAAAGTTGAAGGGTGGTGTACAAAACACGACGTAGGACTACGAAATTTTTGTTTAATGGGGTTGTTTAGAAGTATTGATGTTTTTGCATATTTGAAATCTACATTAAAAGTGGAACGTAAATCCACAATTTCATTAATTTTGAGAGCTCAATTTTGGCATGGTGATACATTGTGTTTCAGAGCAACCATTAGCCAAATTTGAGTGCTCTAGGACTTTGTTTACCCCCCTGACGATAATAGGTTAATGTATTGCCGAAGCCAACAACTTTTCCCCTATAAAAACTGGCATGTTTTTCAAAATTCAACAACCCAATTTTCTAGTTTGTTGTTTCGGATATTGTTTTGGGATAAAGTGAATTTCATAACTCAACTCTTTATAAACCATAGTTTACCCATTAAATGAGGAGGGGCACTTTTAGCGGAAATGGGTGTTTTTATACCCATTAATGGGTTTTCGCGAAACACCGTATAGAGCATTTCCAGCCCAAAACGCAAACCGGTTGGTCATGAGTGTTTCCGATTTGAATGAAACATTTCTCACGTGTTCGCTGCTACTAATGGTTGCATTTTTCATTTAAATATGATTTTTTTCTCCAGAGTAACTTTTGAAAAGGGCGTATAAAAAAATGGATTATTTTTTTTTTTCAAAAAATCATAACTTGAAAACTATTGATCTGATCAAAATGACATATCAGAAGAAGTTTTAGGTAGTTAAATTATCTTTGCGGAAAAAAACACTGAAAGAAAAACTTAGTAAATTAGTATTTAAAAAACGTAAAACGATGATTATTTCAAAACACCCCCCCTTCGATATTTATAATTTTTTTTTTCAAGAAAACTGAAAAAATGCCCTAATATTTGGTGAAGAGTGGTTACTGGTAACTTTTTAAAAAAAAAATCTATAATTTTTGAAATTTTTGTTGGTTTTTACAAGTTGGTGAAATTGCATATTTTTTAGTAAAATAGTAATTTATTTGGATTCTACGCATAATTTTCAAAAACTTTGCATATAGAAACTTTTTTCCTAAGTCCAGCCGTTCTCAAGTTAATGCAATTTAAAAAAATAATTATAATAATTTTCTACATTTTGGGCCATTTTCAAATGTTAGTCGTGATGTCCAGCAACGAGATGTTTTTCCATGAATGTCAAATATACCCAAATAATCAACAAACCCACTCATGTGCCTTTTTTCTGTCCTCTATTAGTTGTATACCTGGATAGAATTGTGTATGTCATAACAGAGGCTCAAAACATAAACAGGTAAACAAATATGTTATTAAACCTGTAACTGAGATAAATTCTCTAGGTACTTCTCTGACGTATACCATATTGTACCTTAAGAGCTCATCCCGCGATATCACAACTACATAAAAAGGCACCCCGTGGAGGCTTCTTACACTCACACTTAAAAAAGTTTGCTATAATCAATTGTACCTAATGAAGATAGGTATAATGTCAACATTGTAATTATTCTGCTACATATATATATACATACAGGTGAAGAACGTCCCAATATATATATATTGCTATGCCTATATACAGAAGTGTTCATTGCGTTGTACACTGAAAACGAATCTTACTCAGAGAGTCCGTCACTTTTACTCTTACACTTTGAAAAGCGTAGGTTACTCATGCGCTGAATAACCTTCACACAGAGTTTAAATTACCGAAGTCGGTAAAATTTTACTGAGTTTTTAAACAGCTGAGTTTTCAGCAATTAACTCAGGAGTTTTTGGTTTGAGCTTGCTTGAGCTTGAGCTTGCTTGAGCTTGATTGACCGCCCACGGTTGCTACTCTGTTACTGCTAGATCAGCTGTAATTACACAGAGAACCAATAGACGATGCTTGGGACTAGCAATCATCCTCAATGTGTAAAAACTGGTGATCTTAAATTAGGCAATACCAGCGCCGGCCGCGCCCGAACACAGGTCAAGAAAGGAATGGGAAGGATTGTGTTGACATGACACTCGCTTTGATGGAAGCCGAGAACACCTCTGCACTTCCACGATGAATCACTGGGATGTTGGATAAGAGGGTTGGGTTTGCAGCAGGGTTCGTTTTGGTAAACGATAAGCTGAATTGATGTCCTAACGATCATATAACGCGAAGGAGCTTGGGACTAAACCCACGGTCTTCTGCTCAGTAAGCAAAAACGTTTGCCACTAGGCAGACGAGCACCTTGTTAATCACCGAGTTGCTGTTATTACCATGTAGTCATATTAGCAAATAAAACGATTGACGAATCTTGAATGTGGAGGGGCCTGAGATTAGACTCATGATGTTCTGCTCAGTAAGCAAAAACGGTTGCTCTAAGGCCACCGAGCCCCTCATATCACATAATACCATTGCTCAAATTTGTGTATCCATTCAAACCCGGAACCAACGACAACAACGAGTTTCGCAAAATACACGATACACAAGCGATTTTACCATAAATCTCTTTGATATGTAAGGACCTGGGACCGCGTCTTTCTGCTCAGTAAGCAGGCCACTGTAACCGACGATCTTTCAAATCCGAAAACTAAAAACTACGAAAAAGTACTTAGGCCTTCATTAAGTTCCACTTTCACGCGACGTTCAATGACAGGGTCCTATCCAGGATTACATCTGAAAAATCCAAATCTGGCCAACGCCCACCGTAAACCTAAACCTGTTCAAATCCACCTGAAATGACTAACGAATGGAAGACTTTGACTACCCAAGGAACAATTTCCAGTTGAAGAAACGCTTTCGTTTTGATTTTTTTCAGCTGCATGTTGAATAATAATTGCACAATGTGTTCACCACAACTTTTATAAAACCCTTGTTTACACTGGTTTGGAGAACCTATACAACTGCAACACAAAGGTGTTGTCTAACGTATTCAGTAAGACGGTTACCCAAAATCAATTTCTTGTTGAAGAAACGCTTCCATTGTGATTTTATTCAACTGCATGCTGAATAATAACTGTACAATTTGTTTATTACAACTTATGTAAAACTCTTTTTTACACTGGTTTGGAGAACCTGTTCAACTACAGCATTATATGTATACGCGGTATAGGAGTAGAAGCAACTTTTATACAACGTTTATAGATACATATTTAAACTCAAGCTTTATTATTTTGGTGAAAGCTCTTATACAACGTTTGTAGACACTTCTTGACAGCTGCTTTGAAATTTAGTAGAGAGTAAACCTGAGAGGCGTTTGTTGCACTCTTTTATGACTCCTAAATAATCATTGTACAGCAAGCGGTGAAAAGCGTTTATAGCACTTTTCAATGACTCCTTAACAGCCGGATAGAAGCAACTTTTATACAACGTTTATAGATACATATCAGTGCCAACATTTCAAAGGGGCGTAATTGCATTTGTAAACAATGGCTTTAGCCTTCGATTTCTCTTGAATAAAAGCTCACTCATGAAAGTTATTTACACCACCAAGTAGGGGAATGTTTCCTCTACCATCTAGAATTGTTAATTTGAAGAGGTGAGCTTTCAGTTGCGAGAAATCGACAGCTAAAGCCATTGTTTACTAAAGCAATTACGCCCCTTTGAAATGTTGGCACGGATATTTAAACTCAAGCTTTATTGTTTTCGTGAAAGCTCTAATACAACGTTTGTAGACACCTCCTAACAGCAGACAACGGTGCCGGTGGTGTATTGGTAAGCGTGATTACCTCTCACCCCAGCAGGCCTGGGTTCAATCCCAGTCGGCGCCGCCAGGATGTTCTGAGGCATAACATCTCTGATCACGCCTTCCTTCGGATGGGAAGTAAAGCCGTTGGTCCCCGGTTCATGAGTTGATGGGTCGTTAGGTAGGGTCCAGGTGTGGGAGCTGCCTTCCTGGCACGTCGGTAGCATTGGTGCTCAGCACGTAAAACAAGATCGACGGAAAAAACAAACCAAAGGAAAAAAAAAGGGAACCTCCTAACAGCTGCTTCGAAATGTATTAGAGATTGAACCTGAGAGGCGTTTGTTACACTCTTTTATGACTCCTAAATAATCACTATACAGCAAGCGGTGAAAAGCGTTTATAGCACTTTTCAATGACTCCTTAATAACCGTTGTGTAAGTACTCACAATATTCACAGATTAAAATTAGTTTAACAATTGTCGTGGTACGCCAAAATAATTGCTTGTACAGTTTTTATTAATTTAATTTATTTGTGCACTTTGAAAAAATATGTAATTATGCCCTAATTTACATTCTGTGATCATGGAGGAAGTAGTAACAAGCATCTGTTTAATCTTTGATTGATATTCTTTCAATTAATCTCTCTAATCATTAATTGAGAGAATTTATCTAGAAATGTTATCGTTGATTATATGATATATGTCTTAAATTAATGTTTGCATTTATTAATAACACCTATATATAATTTACCTCTACTCCACCGAGGGTTTCTCGAAGCAAGATTCGAACTCATGATCCCGGATTGCCAGCCGCTTCTGTTTCCATCTGCTCTATTCTTGAATACATATTTTGATCATATGAGAGAAGTATATGAAGCTCATCTTGAGTGACTTCTCTTGCAGTCGAATAATCATTGCCTTATGGTCATATAAACGTGCCTATCACTTGTGCTATTTTTAGCAACAAAATTGTGGTTGGTGGTTGGTCGAACGTAAACAATCATTTAAGAGTGCTCCAACAGCTTTTAAAACTTTTAATCAAATGGCAATACAACTACATTCTTGTTCAACTCTGGAAGCTATTATTCAACGTTTGATCAACTCAGGTGTTTTATAAGAGCTCTCAATTGTTTGTTGGGTACCCAGCCATGCAATAGTCTCATTCCGTGCCTTATGGCAACTTGATGATTCTATTGCGCTCATCTTTTGGCACCACCCAGGGGAGACTTGGTCCTGTACCCAATGCTTAACTTATCTCCATTCCACTCAGCTACTCGCAATTTCTTGTGATATAGTGGGCGGAATATTATTATATGAGACAATTCAATGCAGACGTCTTTCCAAATTTGGCAGATCGACAGGTAATCGGTGAGTTACCACGATAGTTGCTATTCAACAACTCGACAACGTCCCATCGTCAACGCCTGCTATGAGAATTTCCCATTGCAGACGCCAACGAAATGACGTCATCGAGCTATCGATCAACTACCCTGGTTATCGCCTGGTACCTTATAGCACGTTGCTAGGAGGCGAACCGGAAGAATCGATGAGCTACCTCTCCCCCTTAACTCAGCAGTTTTTGGTTTATGGAAAATGGAAAAAAATATCCCTGAAATGTCAAAATACCGTTTAGTCAGTAAAATAATTGCAGACTTTTTCTGTAATTTATTTGTTTACATTATTTTTGCAGATTTTTTTCATTATTTTCATGAATAAATATCAATGAGTAATAAAAAAAATATTTCGGATTTTTCAAGATTTTTATTAGGGGCCATAGGCCAGGATCTAATATTGGGCCCATCGCTAAAAATCAGCTATTTATCAATTTTATCTAGATGAACGCGTCATTGGGACGGTACTAATCGATATTTTTGGTCGCTATTGAAAATTTAGTCGATTGCTGAATTTATGTATGGGCCCAAATTAGGAGCATTTAGGCCGACATTACATTCATTTCCCCTTTGTCAAGTTATATATGATTGACTTGCGCAACTAATGTATGACTATAACGCAACTGCTATTTTGAAGATGTTCTAAATGGATTCAATCCTTCCAACGAATGGCATTTGTTCATTTTTCCATCATCATTATTAATTTTATTGTGCGAATAAAGTGTATAAACTGAGATTCCGTACTCAAAAACTTGTGTGCGGTTGAAAATTTATGGTGAATCTTTACATTCTACATCTAAAAAACTCATTGACTCTTAGATAAAGCTTTCTGCAATAAATTGAATTGCACAAAAAAAAGCTGTATAAAATTTACCAATTTCGAAAACATCACATTTTGAGCAAAACAAATAGAATTTCAACCTTTTTTTGATTATCATACTTGTCAACTGAATTTTTTTTTTTTCATTCTATATTTTGCTTCATCGGTCGGAACATTACTTGTATCACATATTGAAGAAATAATTCGGCATGGCAAATCTCAATTACTTGTTTATAACACATTTATAACTGATTGTATTTGATGAAAACTTCCTAGCCTTATGTACAACATGTTTTCATATGTTATTTTTCGAAGCATGTAGAACTGAAATATACTACCCCATTTCCGGCGTATTAAGCACAACCCGCACTTAGTCTTTCTTAATCTACACCGAAAAAAGTTTGCATGTAGATTCCATTGGAAATGCACATGGTTTTCATCCATAGTCAAAATTAATGGAATTCATCTGAATTTCACATTTCATCCATTAGATATGTGATAAATTTTTTGAGTGTAACGCAGTTTAGCACCAAACGGAATGTTATTATTACTGATGGCTTCCAAATGTATTTACCTTTCCGTATGTACCGTAAGAATTGATAAAGAGAAAACAATCGTTGAGATATTGTCCAAAGTCTAACACTGCTTCTTGACGCCAAACTCGGCCTACGGATTCTAAACTCGGCCTAACGCATTGAAACGCAACTGAATTCACTTCTGCTTGTCGGATGATGATGAAAATTGATTCGGTCGGAGCGCTTCTTTTGTTTTTGGGAATAATAGGTGCAGACCTTCATACCACGCGTTCTCATTGACTTTGTTCGGTTGCTTATTAACATAAGTATCGTACCAAACGCATAATTGTCTTGTTAACTCTGAAATCATGGATTTATTTGAAGTTTTCTGCTCGATAGGCCCAAAATGGGCGATTAGGCCGAAGTAGTTCTCTACCCTATAGCAAAAAGAAGCTCGACAACCGGGGAAACCTCCAAACGAGCTTGGTAAAGTGGAACCTTACAAATTAATGTTCAATGTTGCCTAAATGTTTACTACCGCTTACCATGCGCACAGCTTACTCCTAATGGATGCAATGTACATCTCATCGTACACGTAGATTTACACGGCTGATGAGATCAACTCAAATTTGAGTTTAGTTTACTCATAATCGCAAAAAGTGCAGGAGCTCAGCGATTAGTACATTTGCCTCATGTTTTCCTGTTGAAAACCGCAAAGATCAGCTGTAAAATTAGGAAAATTGACGAAAATTTTACTCAGTCTAGAAGTAGTACCAATAGACTGACTGAGAATCCAATCTTTACTTTTCTCATAATCTTGATTTTTTCCTGGAAAAACCTGGAAACCAGTAGGCAAATTTACTTGAGTAGGCAAATGTAAATGAGGAACATTTACATGGTCAATGAGAATAACTTAGAGGGGGGAGAGTGACTTGTACTCAGAGGTGTGGAGAATTTTCTAAAAACTGCAGGAACTCAGCGCTGAGTACCTGCAGTTTTTATAAATTTTTCATACAACCGATTTTCGTCGATTTTCCTCATATTCGAGAAGTTTTTCCAAATTTGAGGTCAGTTTAATCATAAATAGCAAAAAGTGCAGGAACTCAGTGTTTTTCTAGGGAAAAATTCCCGAATATGAGAAAAGAAAATATTGGATTCTCTCAGACTGGTACTAGTATTAAGAAGACTGGAAACTTTGCCAGAAACCAAGCGACAGATACAGTAGCGCTGCTCTTGAGCGCAGGTGGAAGCGATTCACCGAAAAATGAGCATATTACACAAACCTTTCTCCTGAGGTTGGAATCTATGTGAGTTTTAATGGAGGGAGGCGAAGCCGTTCAACATCACTGTTTACGATTTTGAGAGAAATCTGACTCAATATTCTTAGTTGATCTCATCGGTCGCGTAGATTATGTTGAGGATCTCAAGGTTTTCGAGCATCCTTTTCAACGGAACATATACACTCTTCAAAGATTGTCATCCATGAATTCATTCTATTCGTCACAGGCAATGATTGAAAACAAGAATTAATGAAAGTAATCCCGTTTATTAAATGTTTTCATGCGTAAGTCCAACAGTGCATAATTGTTGCCGTTCTAGAAAGTAGTACAAATTAACATTCGTAATTATAGTAAGCCTATGAGCAATAATTCTTGAGCTAAAGCTAAAACCTAAAATAAAAGCCTATCTGTTCACCGAACTTGCAGTTAACACTAAATGCAGCAGATTCTTTCTCCGTTGAGCGTCAAATACATTTTATATTTATTTCAATACAACATTGGTACAAGGCACTTTCTAAGATCCTAAAGGGTGATGCATATATTACGTCACGCTCTAAGCGAGAGAGGGGGTGTAAGATTTTGTGACAAGCAATGCATTAGGTTTAGCAAAAACGTTACGAAAGGGAGGGGAATATTTTTTCCTAAATTTAGCGTGACATAATTAATGCATGACCCCCCATTGACTTCCATAAAAAAAACTATCAAATAAAATCCGACAATGCTGTTAGTTCCTCCCATCGTGTCCGTTATCTCCCTTTCCCTTGGTATACTTATCCAAGTCGAGCCGCACATTCGGAACCGTAAGCCTGTTCTCGCCTCCCGAAGACGAACTCATATGAACGGACGAAATGCGCGATTCCCCGGAAAACAGTCCATTCGTAGCGTTAAGGCTTCCATCCTTGGTGCCTCCTCCTTCGTTCTCCCTCGGAGTACCCGACGATGATTTCGTAGCCACCGGAGTGGAAGTCCTCTGGATGTTTCTATCCGTGGTCGTTTGCGTTAGCAATTCCGGTGTGGACGCGTTGATGTTGCTAATGTCCAACAACGATCGCAACAGCAAACTGCACGGACTGGACGAATCCGAGAGGGAGTTCAGATCGGAATGTGTCCGGATCATCAGTTCGCGGGCGATGAATTCCTTTAGGTTCAGAGGTCTACCGGACGCGGCTAAGGAATCGTTCGGTTCGTTCGGTAAGGATGGTAGTGGTTTGGGTTTCCTCCCCGTGCCTCGACGAATGTCTTCGGCTTGGGAGAGCGATGAGCTGCTGGAATGGTCCTGCAGCAGTGCTTGTTGGTTTTTCTTCAGCATGGTCGATGCCCAGCGGAGTCCGAGTTGATTGAGGTCGCGTTCGAGGGATGCAGTTGTTTCGGAAACGGATCGATCCGGAGTTTTCGGGAAATCGGTCTGTTTCTTTTTCGTTGGAGATTTATTAGTCTTCTGTTGGGGATGGAGGAATTCGAGGGAACCGGAATTAGGCGTTGATCGGTTGGAATCGTCCAGGGAGTTGTCAAACGATTTGTCTATAATGTTTCTGAGCTTCAGCTCGGCTACCACATCCGGTAGAGATGTGCTCGAGCTAGAGTTACTTTCTAGTTCGGGTTTCTTTCCGTTGACGCTTCCTTTGAGGGTTTCTTCGGTGACATTCATCTCCGGTGCCGGGACCGGGAATTTCTGGTAGCGCAGATCACTCTTGTCGGAAACTTCTAGCAGTTCGTTCAACCGTGAGGTGCAGGTCTTTTCCGGATCGTATCGAGTGACTTCCAGATTCTGCTCTCTGACGTATTGTTGGTAATTGGGAAAACCTTCGTAGCCGAGGGCGCGAGCGTGTTCCAGCAGCTTGTCACGGGCATCCACGAGCAGCTGCTCGGCTGGGTCTAGCATTTCGCTCGGCGGAATCGAGATGTTGGCCTTCAATGCCAGGGGAGTTTCCACTTCTAGGATTGTGGAAAGCTCGTGCGCTGCGGTGCCTTCCTCCAGCTGAGGACTGTATCGGGTGATGGCCACCGGAGGTTTGGTACGCTTTGCCAGTGGGGGTTCCTTTGAATCACGCGTTTGACTGTTGCTTGCTGTTGGCTGAGAGAGTACATCAATCGATGCGAGACGTGGTGAAATCTGTGAAAAATTTTACGATTATTAAGGTGATAAGGTGGAGCGAGTAGGTAGATTGGTACTCACCTTCGGAATGTCCTTCAACAATGGCTCGAATGCCAACGGCACAGTCTCCCGGGAGCTCAGATCTTCCGACGATTCAAACTGAGGCGCACCGGCATTTGGTGGACGAGTGTCAGGACTGTCTCGGTAATCGGACGATGTCACCGGTCGTGACATGGCGATTCCACTGTCCTTGCTGAGCCCGATTTGCCTGGCATTGGTAAAAATGTTGTTAATCTCCTCGCTTACAGGATCATCCTTCGCCGACTGGGGACTCGTCTCAACGGCCGGAGCTTTCTGCTGAGTCCTCGGAAAATCCATATACTTAGTCGATGATTCAGGCTGGTCACTGGAGGACAGGCTGTTTTCAATCAACTTCTTCTTCTCCTGGCGTACCTTTTGGATCATGTCTGACAGCTCGGAGATTCGTTTGCTACAGCTTTCCGCTAGATGTGAGTACTTTTCCAGCACTTCTTGCTCGTCGCGATCACTCAGATTGATCACCTCTACGTGCCCCTGGGGAGTGATGATTTTGGCCACCTTTGCCGGGGTCTGTTTCGGTGATTTAAGAATGGACTTCAGGGAACTTTCCTTCACCGGAGGCGATTGTTCCACGGGCGGAGGTGGCGGAGATTTCGCTTTCCCCTGACGAATCTCTCGCTCCTTCCGGCTTAGTGTCTTCATCCAAACGTCCTCCACTCGGCTAATGTTCTCATCGGCAGTTCCGCTCAGTTCCTGCTCCTTGAGCGTTTCATCGATTTCATTGAGAAAGTTGTAATTTTCGTTGATGAAGCGCCTGAGTTTATCCATGCGGGATTGATCCCGACTGGTTTGCTCATCAACGCTGGACTGGTTTCCGCTTACGTTGACGACGGAATCGCACGGAGTGGAAACGGTCGTTGAGGAGCTGACTCCGAGCTGTTCGATGGAATGCCGGGACATTCCCAGCAATCGAACGATGTACTGCATAAGATTTGGGTTGAGATTTTGACCTTGCTGATGGTGACTGACTGGTGGTGGTGGTGGAGTGGTCTTTTTCAGTTGATGCTTCGGGGCAGACTCCGCTCGGCGTGGTGGTGGTGGTGGTGGTGGTTTGGTGCTTCTAGGAACTTCCGATTGAATAAGTTGGTTCAAGAATTTACCAACCCGATTGTCAATTTTGTTCGGTAGCTGCCGATAGATGGTCGATGTGGTGGAACTGATTGGAGACGCTTCCGGTTCTGCAAGGACTTCCGGAGCTTGAATGGTCTTTTCTGTGATTTCCTTAGCCTTTGAAGGAGATTTGGGAATAGCTTTCGGTGGTTCTACAGAACGATGATCATGGACGTCTTTAGCTTTCTTCCTTTTCCTCGCTTCCGGGACCGCTTTCTTCGGTGTCTTCTTGACTTTCCTCTGGGATTTGTCGTTTACAGTGATAACGATCTTCACCGGAATCTCGGATCCGGATTGGATACTGTCGTTGGAGCCCGTGGAAGAGGTATCAAGAACGGTTTGGATATCGGTATTCGCCGATCCTTTCGCTTCAACGTGAATAGGAACCTTGGGCTTAGATTTCTCCTTCTCCAAACGATTCAGTTTCTCCTTGAGCTGTTTTTCCAGGTCACGGATTTCCCGTTCTTTCTCGTGCAGATTCTTCTGTTGCTGCTCTAGATCCTGTTGTCGCTGTTGCATCTTCTTTATTCCATTATCGGTTTGTGTTTTCGTCGATTTGAGCTTCACAAGGGGAACCTTCAGTTCCTCCTCAATATCCTCCTCCTTCTTCAATTCCTCCGTCAGCAACTTCTTCTGTTCGTTGATTTGTTCCAGCAGTTCCTTCAGTTTGCCAACCTTGTCCGTTTCCGGAAGCGGAATTCCCGCCCGTCCATTGCCTTGCTCGTATCCCAGCAGGATTGTACTGCAACTATCGGAACTGTTGCTCACTGCTCTAAGGTTGGAATCATCCCCCAGTAGGTGGACAGCGTTTCCAGCTTCCGCAGCAACATTAACCTGCGATGGTCGATTGACCAGCTGGACTCCTTTGGGTGGATCCCGCACTACAGGACAGGTGATCAAGACCCGTTGCTTGAGCAAATCCTCCACGGCTTGGTTCATTCGTTTCTGGCGTGCTTCCGATTGCTGGCGCTGGCGAGTTTCCGTCATCAGTGGTTTGGTCGTCTGAAAATGATAATTTTAAGCTATTTACTTACATTCTAGAGAAAGTCAACCACCACTCACCACATCCAATGCCTTGACTTGAGATTCTGCTCTGACTAGCTTATCAAGTTCCAACTGTAAATTCTCATAATCCTTGCGAATCTGTAGCTTTTCCAGAGCAACCTTAGAGCGATCCGGTCCCGCGGGAGCTTGTCTGAAATAAGACAAAGTTGAAAGAAACTTCTGTTGCGAACCCAAATCACCGACTGTCCTTACCTCCTCGCATTCAGCATTTCGTTTTGCAGTCGCACCAACCGAGTGGCCTCTTGCATCGCATTCAGTTCCCCATCCTTGGGTTTGTCGATACGCTGCACAAACGATGTCGGTTGGTCGTATTCCTTCCGATACTTGGTATTGTAGTCGTAGTACTGCACCTTGGAAGTTCCCGGCTCCGTTAGGCTACCAACCGAACTAGAAATCGTAGTCGACTGCTTCGAATGACTTCCTTTCGACTGAGCCTTAATTGGGAGTGCCCTGGGTTGATCCACCAGCTTTCGCACCGGTTTGCGCGGCGATTCCAAGATGGAACGATCCATGGCTGTGCTTGTGGGAAAGGAGAGAGTGTTTTCACTCAGATCGTCAAATTGCACATTCTTCTGAGAGGAATATGTGGGAATGTCTTTCGGCGCTGACCCCGTTGGATGCGCGTATTTGTGCGAACGATCTTCGCGGCGTCGTTTTATAAATTCCGACACCTGTGTAAAAGGTTTCAGCTGCGGAGCAGCAGGCAGGTGTTGTTGTAGCGTGTCCGGTGAAGTGAACGATGTGGGATTGTAGTAAAGAGTGTCTACCCGTTTGCTGGATTTCGTGTTGTGATAGGGAAAGTTTTCTTTGTTTTTACCTATGCCAGTTGGCACTTCTTCGTCCGACGAAAGGAAATCCGGAGACAACGGTCGATCCTGCATGCGCAAATCCGGGACCGAATTCGCCTTGGAACATTTCTTGAACTGCTCAAATGCGCTTATGGTGTTGACAGAGGAACTACTGTCATCTATCTGAATGGGAACATCCTTCTTCTGCTCCTCCATTGGCTTCTCTGCCGGAACAGAAACTTGCACCGCAATCGACTTGGTCGGTTTATATTCTTTCCTCTTTTTCGGTTTCCTACTTTCTCGATCCTGAACTAGTTTAGCTTCAGCGTGTCTCCCTCTTTGAATAGCAGTCGCTTGCTGGGTAGCCTTCTTCTCCTGGAACCAAATCTCGCACTGCTCAGCCGCTTCCGCGGCTTTATGAGCTTCCCCGACATCCTCCAAGCAGTGTTGGTAGTCCGCTTGCAGTTTGGTAATGTGCTTCTGTTTCCAGCTTTTCAACTCCGCTTGCTTCAGCTTATCCACATTGGCCAGTTCCTTCTGTTTGGCTGCTTCAACTTTCCGTCGAACATTCGCCGCTAGCTGTTTTGATTGTTGCCGGACCTGTAAACATTTGGATTAACGATATTGTTACAAAATTAAGAACATACCTTCCATCAAGAACATACCTGCTCCAGCCGAGTTTTTCGCAGCTTATCATTTTCGGCCTTCCGAACGCTTTCGAGACTCGCAAACGGATTGTTACTGCTGGAGGACGGTGGCTGCGAGCTATGCACCGTTATGTTGATGGACATCCTCCCTTTACCTATTGTTATTTCCTTTGCATTTTCCCGTATCACTATTTTTGTCCGTTGACACTTTACTCTCCTCGGTAGCAAAATATAAAACAATCGCGGCCAACAATATCAAATTTTGAGCGTCGAAACAGAAAACAATCTTTTTTTTTTTCAAGGCACTTCAATAGACGGACGGCAGTTTCGTAACAACATTGCATATGCGTTTTTTTTTTATGCTCTTCCTTTCAAATGCGTCGCCTTTATGTTGACCTTCTTCGCAACACTACTTTTATGCTGGCGGCGAATCGCTGGTTTGTTTGTAACGGAATGTTTCCATGGCAAACTGTTGCGTGTCGCGTGTAGGAGAGTTGTGTGGCACATTTTGAATGCTACAAAAGTGGAACGAAATATGCCACGGGGATCGACGAAGTAATGCGAAAGAAATCCGATAGAGCGCACTGTTGACCGCCTGAGAGAATCCTGTATTGGGCGATTCCGCCGGAGAAAAATAAATAATTCAGTGCCAACATTTCAAAGGGGCGTAATTGCATTTGTAAACAATGGCTTTAGCCGTCAATTTCTCGCAACTAAAAGATCGCCCATAAAAATTAATTACACCAACAGGTCGAGGGATGTTTCCTTTACCAGCTAGCGTTGTTAATTTGGAGAAGTGAGCCTTTATTTGCGAGAAATCGACGGCTAAAGCCATTGTTTACAAAAGCAATTACGCCCCTTTGAAATGTTGGCACTGAATTTAATGTAGACCAACATCCGAGAAGGAAGGGGTTTACAGCAAAAAAAAAGCTTGAAAAACAATTCAGGCGTAACATTTTATAACGGAACAAAAGCTTTTGTAAACAAACTTTGTAAGGCCCTTTGCACGCGAACCAAAGTACGCCCATGCAAACCAACAACATCATCGGGTAGAGGCAACTCTCACCTTTCCGAAAGTGGTTTGCGTGGGCGTAGTTTGGTTCACGTGCAAAGGACCTTACAAAGTTTGTTTACAAAAGCTTTTGTGCCGTTATCAAATGTTACACCGGAATTAATGAATATTACATCGAAACTGTTACACCCACACGGTAAGAAAAAAGTACCCTACGGTCAGTTCACTTTTACTTACTTTCGACTAGTTTGTCTCCTTTTCTCCTTCTAATCACAGAGAACAGACATGGAGGCTCGAACCAAATTTCTCTAAAAACTTGTGTAAAGATTCCTATTCGACTTAAGCGCCACTAACGGCGACTTCTCCACTTAAAAACCCTCTTTGACAACATGATGGCGCTGGCGTCGCACAAACTACACTAGACACTAAGTGCTAGTAGCGCCAAGTGGCAATTTTCAACAGATAATTTATCGATACTAGCGCCAAATTGGTCGAAAGTGATAAATTTATAGAGGAAATCAGGAGATGCTAGTGCTACGTAACGGCGACGTTTCCACTTAACTTTACACAAGTTTGTGACCGAACTTGGACGTCTGTTCTCTGTGCTTTTGGATAGACAGCTAGTGGAAAATTCCATACGAATTGCACACAAGTAAATGAAAACTACTTTGGCCAGCTTTACCTACTATTGGGTTCATGCACTATAGTCCCGAGGTGAGTGAAAAGAACTTACTTTTGGGTACTTTGACTATATGTTTAGTATTACCAACAATCAATTCGAAACTAACGATTTTAAATTGGCTCACTACTTGACTAGCCTATTGGTCCCAAGCAAACGATTAACGTATCCCATTCTAGTCGAAATTCTAGTACTACGCAATGTGTTATGATTCGCTATGAAACCACAGACAAACAGACATAACACTCGCAAGTTGATCATCGAACAAGCATTTAACGGTCAATTCAAAAGTATCGTAGTTGGTAGTACCGCCACCTGTGGCGCGCATAGTCAATTCCCTTGCGTTTGACGTTTACACACTACCGCCATCTGTTCAGCGTACTACCCACCACAGTGTACTCAACAGATGGCGGTAATGTTTTAGCGACGATGTTTTATATTGAGAAATATTCAATGTGTTATGTCTGTTTGTCTGTGATGAAACTTTGACAGCTAAAATGAGGGGTTATTGGTTTTTCCTATGTTTCAAGGGGTGAATCGATTAACTTGGGACCGAAGAGAGTACCAGAGCTGAGCCAAAAAGTTGAGCACGTATCTTCGGGACCTTCTGGTCTTAGAGTTACCTCTATGGTATTACCATAGAGGTAACTCTAAGACAAGTAGGTCCCGAAGGAACGTGCTCAACTTTTTGGCTCACCACTGGTACTATCTTCGGTCCCAAGCTAGTCGAATCACCCGTTGAAACATAGAAAAATCCAATAACCCCTCATTTTATCTGTCAAACTTTCATAGCGAATCAAAACAAACATTGTGTAGTACTAGAATTTTGACTAGAATGGGATACGTTAATCGATTTGCTTGGGACCAAAAGGCTAGTCAAGCAGTGAGCCAATTTAAAATCGTTAGTTTCGTATTGATTGTTGGTATTACTTCTGCGTGAAGTCAACGATTTACATAGTTGAAGATGCTAATTTCAAATAACAGACTAAAGTGGTAATTTTTATACGATAGATGGAGGAGATGAAAGTCTAGAGTTGATAGTTCCGTTAGAGTATACGGCAGTGTGAAAATTGCATATAGATAGTAGATAGCGAGCTAGGACAACTTTTAAGGAAGGTACAAATCGGTTTTTTCATCTCTCTTTACCAAACTCCCCCTTTGGAGAGGGATGGTGAGGGGTGGGAACTAACGATTTTAAATTGGCTCACTACTTGACTAGCCTATTGGTCCCAAGCAAACGATTAACGTTCCCCATTCTAGTCGAAATTCTAGTACTACACTATGTATATTTTGATTTGCTATGAAAGTTTGACAGATAAAATGAGGGGTTCATGGATTTTCTTATGTTTCGAGGGGTGCATCGATTAGCTTGGGACCGAAGATAGTACCAGAGCTGAGCCAAAAAGTTGAGCACGTATCTTCGGGACCTTCTGGTCTTAGAGTTACCTCTATGATAGAGGTAACTCTAATGGTGGTAAGCTCCAACAGGTATTATCCTCGGGTTAAATCCCAATCAAGACTGTCCGGCTGTTAATCAAAACGACTCTAAGCAAATACTTATCGACTAGAATGGGATAGGTTAATCGATTTGCTTGGGACCAATAGGCTAGTCAAGCAGTGAGTCAATTTAAAATCGTTAGTTTCCACCGGTTGGTATTACAGTGCATATTGAATTTCTACGAACCTGCCCCAACACAGTTTGATATCGATTTGCTGTTTGATGCTGGACCTTGCTAGGAAACGTCATTAGAAAATTCTCGAATGATGTGATCCCTTGTGTTCTAAAATTCATTTATTTATTGGTTGCCCCATGTTACAATAATAGTTGTTTGATTAATATGTTACACTGTCTTTGACTTGGACTGCTATTTCTGGTCAGTCTAAAATTTAAACAATTTCCTAAAAGATACACCTGCTGCTTCAGTAAATTTCGGATAAATCAATCAAATGTTATCAACTGCGGAAACTTTCTATTTTCCAGTTCTCATACGTTTTCCTTAAACTTTTTATCCACAGTAAAATTACACTCTATATTGTTTTTACATTAGGAATCGCGTTATGATAAAATCCTGTAAATAAACATTCTCAACGTTCGCACTTGCACTTGTACAAGTTTACAATCTACACAGTACAATAATTATTAAATATACTTTCAATCTTATCTGCTTTTTGTTCTCTCATTTGCTTTCATGAGATTGGTTGAAATGGTTCCTGGTTCTACACTTAAGCCCCTATCTTCCTTCCATAACACAAATAGGACATTGAGATGCTCCTATATAGTGACTGCCGCTGGACAGTTGCACAACCTATAAAATCGCGACCACGGGTAAAAGCCTTTGCAGCACAGAGTACACCAATTGGATTATTTTGTGATCCCAATTTTTGGAGATCTATCGCGGCAGGTAACTCACAATAACTATGGCAGCGAATGCAATCGAAAGAATGCACCGTCCTTCGGATGGTGCGGTGAATGTGGACCTTTGTTTTAGCTTTCCCAGATTTCTTCGCGTTGTTTGGCAGCAAGTAGTTTGCGTTCTGGAAATGAATAAAGACAGTTTAGAATACCGACGCAGGATGAGTGACCAGTGGACGGGGAAGATTACCCTTGGCTTCTCGAAGGACACGCTTTTCGTTTTCACGTTCTTCGGGGGCAGTTTTCAGCCGAACACCGAGGGCTGTCGTTACGAGCCGCCGAGCCAGGGCAGCACAGGTCTCCGGTCGTGGTCGGTACGGTTGCAGTGAACTGGAGCACTTGCGAGCCTTGGTACGGGATTCGACTGTCGCTTCGGCCAGTGGTTTTAGCTTGACAAAGGCGTGGCCATTGGCAAGAACTTCGGCCGCTAGAGAAAAAAATGTGACGGTTGACATGAGCCTGCTGGAAGCTGAGTATTCCGACGAAACTTACCGATTTTGGAACTACTGAATACCGCTAGGGCGTGCGTATCGTCAACCCATTTGATATCGAAACCGGACTCTTTGTACTGCGAGAATAGCATCATGAGATCCTGCGTTTTAAATTCCACCGGGAAGTTGGACACTTCCAGCACGTGTGGAAATTCTTCCTCGTTCAGGGCGGCTTGTTTCGATTGATATAGCTAAAATTACCAGTGGTTGAATTTTTAATTAGGTACTTTCTGGACATGGCCTTGAACACTCACCTTATAATCCGAACGAGGGATTTCGATCGATACCTTCCCCACCGCCGTTGTCAACTCTTCCATCAGCTTCGGATTTAGGCAATCTCCATTGTCGTCGTACATCGTTTCCCAATCATCCTCTTCGGGATTAACTAGCCGCTCAGCGTCTGTCTTCGTCTGACCATTGACCTTCTCCCCTGTCGAAGATTCCTGTTCGGCAATTTCCAGCACATCAGAAGCGAACGATTGTTTGATAAGCCTTCGGTTGCTTCTGTTGATCTCCAGCGAGGCCCTTCGCAGTTCTTTTTCATCTTTATCGATCTTATCCGAAACATCTGGAACCACCTTATCGTTGATAATCAATGCCGCCGCATTGCCCTTGGAGGTACGATTTCGGTTGGACTTGTTCATGTTGTCCACCGCTTTCGGATTTGTACTTCCGTTCAGTTCCGCTAAAATGCTACCGTTCGAGCGCGGTTCCTTCCGCTCCTTCTTCCGCTCGGCTTTCGATACGAAATCACAGTCTTCGTCTACGTTCTCTCGAGGAACTTCTTCAGATTTTTGCTTTTTGAGCTTTACAGTCTCCGGATTGGTTCCGGTTGTCGGTGTAGTTTCGTCTACGCTATGACTACGGTTTTTGAAGCCTACGGAACAAGCGCATTCGACTTGGGCAGCTGAATCGCTGATGGTTTTTCGATGATTCTCTATCACAGAGTTGACGTTCGTGCCGTTGTCCGGGGGTGGCTTGTCCTTTGCTTTTGGTTTGCGTTCTTTCTCGCCGCTGGAAGCTTGCTGGGTGGAACGTTCTTTCTTGCAGCTGGACGATGCCGCCGCCTTGGGCGGAGAACTGAGTGGGGTAGCGAAGGCCGAAAGACTACCGGTAGTGGACTCCGACGGCGGTGAAGTGGCTATCGGTGGACTGGTTGCGTTAGTGGAAGCACTGGTGATTGTTTGCTGACTGGGAACGGTTACCGGTGGTGTAGTTAGACTCCGACGGGCGCGCGGAATGTATACGGCACGGTCCGGTCGTCGCTCTCGGGGCGGACGGGCGGGTCTGAAATGGCATTCAAGAGTGGATTAGTTGGGATTGTGTTCTGTGGATTTCGATTGATTGTGTGTTTTTTTTTTTTTTTTGTTGATAACTGGCCTGCCTCTACAACTGCCACTAAGGGAAATCAAAAACTATAATTAACGAATACTGTAAAATTTAAGGTACATTTAGAAGCTCTCGTAAAAGAATAGTTTGGAAGCATTTTTAGACGGGCATCTGATTATTATTTTTCGAATGCCACTCGCTACGCTCCTCTTGCTGAGTGACTACACCTCTGGATATTCGGTCTAGAAGGATAACGGTGCGGCCCTAGATGGATAGATGTAAAGGTGGCCAAGAACTCGCGGTCTGCTAGTGTTGGTGAGTTATTTGCCATTAATGTTAATGAAAAGATCACTATTTTGCCATAAGAGGTGTCAAAACAAAAAAAGTTTACTTGCTGATTTTGACAGATTTGGAGCAATATTTTTACGACCAGAAGGTTGGTCACAAATTGATTTGACGAGTAACCAAATTCCCTGATTTTCGTTTAATACGACTTGTTTGAAAAATAAAATAAAATCAAAGAAAAATCAGGGGTATTAAAAATGCTGTATCCTGCATGAGGGCAAAATTGAAACATATATATAATCAGGGTGACCAGTGAATTTTCATTTCGAAATTACCGGTTTATTACCCGGTTTTCCCGGTTTAAATCTTAAAAATTTCCCGGTTGTTAATATTCAACAAAAAAACGAAATTGAACGCATTTTTAAAAACGTTCTGAAAAGAATTTACTGAAAAGATAAAAATGTGATTTAAGAAGATTCGCAAGATTCTGGGGCTTTAAAATTATTTGTGTAAAGTCTGTAACAAGAACTTTTTTTAAAAAAAATTTGTGATTAATAACAATCTTCGTGATGCAAGATTAGGAGAAAAAATAATTAAAATGTGAGATTTTGAAAAAAAATTCAAGAACAATAACAAAAATATGTTACTTATGAGTCGTGGAGTCATAATTGTCACGCTCTGAGACTAGGAAGCATTTTAAGAGTTATAACAAATTACATAACAATCTGTAGAAACTAGCGGACAAATCCTGGATTTTTTAGTAAAATTTAAAAGAATTCAAAGTAGCGATTTCAAACAAATATTGAGAAGGATTCCCACACAGTTTTTGAAAGAGAAGTTCTGAGCAGAATTACAAAATTATTCTGACAAGAAATCCTTAAAAATTGTTAGACGAATTTGGAGGGGTTTCTGTGGAAAAGAATGCAAGTTCTCAATTAAATTGTTAGGTAATTTTAAAAGTTGTGAAAAACAAAACTTTGAGGAAAATTCCTACGTGATTCTGAGGAGATTTGTATGGGGATCGTGACGAAAATAACAGATGAATTTTAAGAAGAATACCAAGAGAATTATGATCAGGATTCAACAAGAAACAGAGTTATTAGAATGTTCTGGGCATAATTTCAACCCTAGTGCGAAAGACTCATCACAGAACTCCAACAAAATTGATTGCAAAAAATTTCCTGATAATTAGAAAGAAATTCTTTAAAATACTCCAAGGGGCTTCTAAATAAACCGGTTTTCCCGGTTTGCTGGCCACCCTGATATAAATTCCGTGTTAAAAAACATAAAAAATAAAATCCAAAATCTTTCGCATTGAAGTTTGAGCACTTAAATTTCGAAAAGAAAAATAAGATGCTGGACATGGAAAAAGTTGCGAAATTTGACGCTAGAGACAATTTTTAAAATATTGGGAGGCTACTCCCAGAATTTGATAAATCTTTACCATCTTTGGAAGAGGTGGATGATTTGCAGACCTTCGGCAAATTTTTAAGACCCCATACTAGGAAATTTCAAGATTTTAAGGTTAGAAACATCTGTACATTGGGGAGTCGGTAAAGGCACAGCTACAAAGTAAGGTCATTCTGGAGGAGGTGGTTGGGTTCGATTCCCGGTCCGGTGTAGGAATTTTTTGGGTTGGAAATTTTTTCGACTTTCCTGGACATAGGGTATGATGGTAGTTGCCACACAATTATACTAATGCAAAATAGTACAGGAATCGAAAGCTCTCAATTAATATAAGTGGAAATGTATCTAGAGCACTAAGTTGAGAGCACTCAATAAGCTAATATGCGATTAGCAATAAGCTTGAAATGCGAAGAAGATTTCTCGAAATCCTGAGTAGATTTATTTGGGTAATTTTCCACAAAGTTTTGCCTAGACCAGCGCTGCCCAACATGCAGTCCACGGGTCGGACGTGGTCTCTGGATCTCAGCAATGGCATAATTCTAGTGCTGTCAAAAATAGTGACCATTTTGAAGAAATAAGTGACCAAATAGTGACATAAAGTTGTAAAAAAAAAGTGACTAGAAAGTGACCTAAGGGAAGAAAATTAGTCGTTTTGATGGCATACCAAATAAATGTTTGATGTTTTAGACTTATTCAATTAGATTAGACAATTAGATAAGCACTCCGCAGCGAAATAATTAATATAGTTCTATGATTTTCACTGAAGCTCTCAAGATCTGTCTGAAGTTGAAATCATCGAAACTAATTCATAGTTTCTTCAATATACTGATACTGAGTTGAACTTTACAGAAGCAATGTTTGCCAACGGGTTGAGACAGATTAATAGTTTCGTCAACACAAATGGCAGACTGCTGGACCTTGTTTTTACCAATCTACCGGAATATCTTGACCTGATTGCACCATCTTCTCCGCTGTTGCCTATAGATAACCATCACACACCAGTTATTTTACTACTTGACGAGAGTGACGCACCAACACTACTTGACGATCATGATCATTGTTTCAAATTTGACTATTCGGCATGCGACTTTGACTTGTTGAACTCTACTTTTATGGATATTGAGTGGGAACGATTATCGAATAATGGTACGGTAGATCAGATGCTATCAGCTTTTTACGAATCTCTCTCAGAAGTTATCAACCGTCATGTACCTCGAAAAAGACAAAAATCGATATCTGTTTTCAACCAACCGTGGTGGACTCCTGAGCTACGTAACCTTCGTAACAATGTACGTAAGATGCGCAACCGATATTTCCTTACAAAAACTGGGTCTGACAAAGCTAGACTCCGTGAGCTTGAGTTGGAGTACAAAGTCATTCTTTCTGCAACACATGAAAACTATTTGCTCAGTATTCAGTCAACCGTCAAGCAAAATCCTTCACGCTTCTGGGACTTCATCAAGAAACGTCAACTTCGATGGAACTACTTCTCGGTCAAGCTCAGAAGCAGCCAATCTTTTTGCTACTTTCTTCGAGAGCGTGTTTAGTAAAGCATCACCCGTGCAACGTCAAAACTGTTTTGAACAGATACCGTCCCATAACATTAATCTACCGTGTATACAGTTTTCTCCAGACGAAGTACAGAAAGCTCTCGATGAGCTTGATTCAAAGAAAGGACCCGGAACAGACAGCTTGCCTCCTGTGTTTTTGAAGAACTGCGCCGCTACGCTGGCGACGCCCATCGCTGCTGTTTTCAACCGTTCGCTCCAAGACAGAACGTTCCCAAATGCATGGAAAATGGCGTCCATAGTACCGATCCATAAATCCGGAAGCTACAAGTGTGTCACCAATTATCGAGGTGTATCCATACTTTGTAGTCTCAGTAAGGTATTTGAGAAACTGATCCACTCCGTTTTGTACAGAGCTGCTGCACCGATCATCTCCAACAGTCAGCACGGCTTTATGAAGCATCGTTCAACAACATCGAACTTAATGTGTTATGTATCAGCGATATCCCGTAGCTTAGAATCGAAGCAACAAGTGGATTCGGTTTATGTTGATTTTGCGAAAGCGTTTGATACAGTACCGCACAATCTCATCGCTGCCAAAATGAACCACATTGGATTTCCGACATGGATCACTGAATGGCTCTATTCATACCTGTCTAATCGCAATGCTTTCGTGATGGTGAATTCCGCACGCTCCAGGACTTTCAACATACCATCTGGCGTGCCACAAGGCAGTGTTCTCGGTCCTCTTATTTTTATCATTTATGTTAATGACCTGTGTGACATGCTCTCATCATCCAAACTTTCTTTTGCCGATGATCTAAAATTTTTCCGTGTGATTGTTTCTCCCACTGACTGTGTCGCGTTGCAAGAAGATATACATCGTGTGATAGTCTGGTGCGGTGACAACGGCATGCGCGTAAACAGCAAAAAGTGCAAAATAATATCCTTCACTCGCTGCAACAACGTTATTCACCATCAATATTACATGGGGCCGGATTCTCTAGAACGTGCAATTTCAATCTGTGATCTAGGTATTACGATCGATTCGAAGCTAAGGTTTAACGAACACATAAACATCGTAACTGCTAAAGCATATACTGTGCTTGGTTTTATTCGTCGTCATGCTTCTGGTTTCACCGATGTTTATTGTCTCAAGACGCTATTCTGCTCGCTGGTTCGCAGCATTTTAGAATATGCTTCCCCGGTTTGGTCTCCATTTTACGTTACGCATATCCTTGCGGTTGAAAGGATTCAGAAAAGTTTTATAAGGTTTGCATTGCGTCAGCTCCCCTGGAATGATCCAGTCAATCTTCCAAGTTATCCCGACCGATGCAAGCTGATTGATTTGGAATCCCTCTCTGCCAGGCGTCTCAAATTGCAACGACTGTTTATCTTTGACCTCATAACAGGAAACGTGGACTGTCCTGAACTTCTGGAACTGATTCCATGGAATACTCCTCCTCGACGATTCCGTAATTCCCCGTTACTTGCAATTCCATTTCACAGAACGAACTTTGGATTCAATAATTGTTTTAATTCTTGTTTGCGTTCCTTTAATGATGTTTGTAGCGAGTTTGATTTTATTTTGACCAAACATGTGTTTAGTGCTAGAATAAGGCGTTTAGATTAAATTAGGTTTTAAGTAATGAGTCTGTACGACGTAGTCGAAGATGGTGATCAAATAAATAAATAAATAAATAAATAATAGTCTAGAGTTTCCTGATGTTTATAAAACAGTCCAAAATTTTTCTCAAT